CGTGTTGGATTAAACTCAACACTGGCGCCGTCTGTGGGAATCTGTCCAAAAAGATTCACGTTATTCTTCGTTTCTAAGAAAAATTCATACGAAAATGCACTGATTACAAAGAAGATGATTCTGGAAAGCAAAAGAGGAGGAAGAAGATTCTGGGAACAAGGAAAAACTCTAGAGGAACCATTCTGGGAAGTCAAGTCTGGATTTTCCCAGATCTGGGTTTGGGGTCGCCGGAGCCGGAGCCGTTGTCACCCTCCCGCCGTGGTGGACCTCCGGTGAAGTCAGCTGCGTCAGGGGAAGCTCGCTGCAGCATCCCAGAAATTTCCGGCGGCCACCGCCTGAGTCGCACACCACCGCCCGTCAACAGCGGTCTGAAGCCGACGCGGCCTGGGGGTTCTATCAGTTAAGAGCCTCATGATTTCCACCATTAATGGTGGTTTTGAGCTCAGAAGAGGTATAGTCGGTAGCTTGGTCGGGCTTCCGCCGGAGACTAGCTCTTCCGGCCGTCCTTGCTCCGCTGCGGCTTCCATTGCCACCCTCAGTCAGCGGACGACCGGTACTGCTTGGCCTTGGTGGGGTGTTTCATCTCTCCATTAGATTCCCCTCACTTGGCTGAAAGCACTCCACGTACAATGGGCCAAAATCTAAAAGGGGGTTAGTAGTAAAGATGGGCACCATGCACTATTGCATTACTCCGTATTTGGGAAGTCAACGGTCTGCAACTGCCTTGTGCAGAGCTGCCGTATTAAGTGAACTGCTCAAGGGCCCAATCTGTAGACGAGCTCATCAGGCCGAACCTACTCATCAAAAAGCTAAGTACCCATATTCTAATTTGGTACATTTAATAGTTAACTAATTAAACTATTAGTAATGCTAGTGCTTTTATCACCATTATTTAATAGGGAGCAAATACCCCGAAATTAAATAATGTCGAGCAAGCTCGGATGAGTAAAGCTCTAGTGATAATTAATTTCACCGTCATTTTAATTAATGATGGGTTATTGTGGGCCCGTTGGCCCGCTCCCGATCGGCTTTAATTAGCGAACGGAGCGTATCTGAATGGCTTATGGTAGGATAATACTATTATTACTACCCGTACATCACTATTATTTATTAGGGATAAAAATGTCCCGAAATTAAATAATGCAGAGCGAAGCTCTAGTGATAATTAGTTCAGCCAACTTTTTTATTAAATATTTAATTGTTGGTGGGTCCGATTAGCCCACTCTCGATCGGCTTTGATTAGCGATCTGAGCGTCTCCAGAGGGTAGTGCCCCGATGACGCGTTTTAATTTGGGGGTTACGCATTAGTCTGCACGGCACCAAGTGCTCGAGCGACGACCGTACCCTAGTACCACCTGCGCCACTAGGCGAAGTGACTATTGCCAAACGTGGCCAATGGGGCCCGAGGGCACCAAAGCACTCAACCTCGTTTTTCCGAGGGCAGTGCGACCAAATTGGGTCTGAGTTTGAAAACTCACAGACCGATGAATATCTCTATGTGACGTTCGGCGGGCTGCTAGTTCGCCCCGCCGCGAGCTACTACGTCCATTAACCCTGCACGATGAGCCGGGCCGAGGGTCATGATAACCCATAGGCCGGTAATCGTGGATGTTAGAGAGAAAGCCATGCAGATGGTTATGTGTGTATACATATTGTCGGGCCGCGCGGCCCGTTATCATGCTTATTGCGCAGCTGAAGCCACTCGACGCGTTCGAGCGAAATGATTAAAAGACGCTCGGCCCAAGTCTTGGAGACGTTCAGGGCCAGCTAAAGAGGGGACCACCACGGTTGAGAACCGTGGGACGAGCATCTCCACCCCAGAGACCGATTGCCTAGGAAGAACACCTAGAGGCCGAGGGTCTAGAGGGGACTGCCACGGCGAAGAACCGTGAGACGATCATCCATCATTCAGAGGCCGAAGGCCTAGAGGAGACCGTCACGGCCGAGGGCCAACTGACACAATCATATCACGACCGGCCTCTCGGCACGGCGTGTTTATCTTTTGAAGACCGGCCTCGTCCCCGCGCTGCGTGGATGAGGACCGTTGCTTGATTTTAGGTCGGCCTCTCATTGCCGACATCATTATATCACGACCGGCCTCTCGGCACGGCGTGTTTATCTTTTGAAGACCGGCCTTGTCCCCGCGCTGCGTGGATGAGGACCGTTGCTTGATTTTAGGTCGGCCTCTCATTGCCGACATCATTATATCACGACCGGCCTCTCGGCACGGCGTGTTTATCTTTTGAAGACCGGCCTTGTCCCCGCACTGCGTGGATGAGGACCGTTGCTTGGATTTCAGGTCGGCCTATCATTGCCGACATCATTATATCACGACCGGCCTCTCGGCACGGCGTGATTATCTTATTTGAAGACCGGCCTCGTCCCCGCGATGCGCGGATGAGGACCGTTGCTTGATTTCAGATCGGTCTCCCGTTGCCGACATCATTATATCATGACCGGCCTCTCGGCTCGGCGTGTTTATCTTTTGAAGACCGGCCTCATCCCCGCACTGTGCGGATGAGAGCCGTTGCTGGATTGCAGGTCGGCCCCTCAGTGCCGACACTATCACATCATGTTCGGCCTCTCATCGCCGACATCATCATACCACGACCGGCCCCTCGGCTCGGCGTGCTTATCTAAGTATTTTGGCACCCCATACATATATGCTCTTTCGTAAAACAAGAAAACACCCAAAGAAAGGGACATTATATGTAGAATGCATAAAGCATTTTTACAAATGGTGTTATTTGACTCATTTCAATACCAAAAAGGTTTTTAAAAACAAAACTCAACAGTATAACTTCTATGGAAAAATGTTAAATGACTTAAATCAGTACCAAGTTTATAGTATATACTCCTATATTTTTAAAAACAAATATATTTTTAGTCCTTTCAAATATGAAATATTTTGTTTTTTGTCTCTACAATTTTTTTTGTCTTTTGACCCTGTGATGTGGACTGTTTTGTTTTTAATTCATCTCTTATTCTGAAAGCACTCTACTTACAAAAAAAATTATTGTAATTTGCATAAATCTACTAGAAATATCTAAATTTGTTCTTCTATATATTTTTTTAGGCTAATAGGAGAGTTAAAACAATGTAAAACTAAGTGATAAAGTATTTAATTCTAAAGAGAAGTGAGAGCTAGAGAGAAAGTGAGCAATTAATATTTCTCAACCCCCCATAACTACCCCTTGCGGGCTATTTATAGGAGTAAATGTGGATTTGGGCTCCTAGCCTTGGGCTTAAGAAACTCGTTACAATAATCATGCCTTCTTTGGGCGAAATAAGACCACTATTGGGCTGAGTACAACACTTAGTAAAAAAGATGGAAAATACATCCTGCCGGGGGGAGACCCTGGCCGATGCGTGCTCACTAGCCGACGTGGTCCCCTGGCCGATGCGATCCAAGATCGATGCGGGGCCCGCTATGTCTTCAGACACCATCCTGGAAAATTTTGGTTTTGGCCGTTGCGGGACCCACTAGGACGAAGGGTGCCACGTGGATGTCCGCCTGGTGTCTTTGACCCTCTGAGTATGTGGGCCATGAGGTCTAATCTCATATACTCTATCACTAAGTATTCGCATTTAAAAAATATATATTAAAAATATTCTAAAAATTCAAATGAATATTTTTTTATTGACATGACAAAGAATTAGAGAAAATCTATTATTCGTGTTTTTTTAAGTCAATCGGATGTAGTTATCATGGATGATGAGCTAAAAAGAAAACCAACATAAATTGCAGGGACACAACAAAATAAAATTGCATGGATGTAAAACAAAATGTACTATATTTACAGGGACTAAAAACATATTTAAACTTTTTTAAAATATTGGTATTCCTCCATAATTATAACATAGATTTGTTACATACTCCGTAATATATTGATTATATCCGAGTCCAGCGCAACAAAATAAACACAAATCCATAGATTAAGAATATTATTCCCCTCCTGATTGCATTGTATCCCTCGTGGAAAATGAGAAGTTGATTTAATAAAATGTTTAGTTTCCTTTCCAAAAAAAAAGAATATTCTGGTCTTGTATTGTACTCGATCTTAACTTTAAAAGTATATCTCTAGCAGTATTAATAAGAAATCATATTTGAAACAAATAATACAAAACACACTAGTCGTGAATTCATCATAGTATACACCAATGGCGGAACTAGAAAATAATATAAGCGGGGCACAATCACATAATGTAAATCATCAAATTAATAATAACATTCTCTTAACAAACCACATCAATAAAACATAAGAAAATTAATCAAAACTGCTAATGTAATGGTGCTAAATCCAAGCTTCCGATCCTCATGCATGTTATGAAGATGCTGGAAAATAATCTCATTATCGATGTGTCTAAACACATCTCTTTCTATGTAACACTACACATCAGTAAGATTGTCTAATCATAATCCTACTATTCGGCTCACTCTACTTGCATCCGTATGATTGTATCTAGAGGTGTAGCTCAACTAGGGATGGACTGGGCCGGGCCGAACCGGCCCGGAACCGGACCGGCCCGCTACTGTGCGGGCCCGGACCGGACCGGGCCCGGTTGGCCGGTTCCGGGCTTTTAGCCCGTTTTGGCGGGTCGGGCGGGCCGGTTCCGGGCCCTGTTTTTGTTGAACCGGCCCGGGCGGTTCGGGCCGGGCCCGGTTCATTTTTTTTTTTTTTTTGGTTTTTTCAATTTTTTTTCTTTTCCTAGGGTAGGGCTGGGTGTTTTAGGGAGGTTTGGGGCGTGGGGGTGAGGGGGGGGGGGGTAGGGAGATAACAAGAAAGTCAAAAAAAAAAAAAAAAAAAAAAAACATTGAACCGGGCCCGGCCCGGCCCGGCCCGGTTAGGCCCGGACCCGGTATCAACCCGGGCCGGTTCCGGGCCCATGTAACCCGAAAAAAAGCCCGCCCGGGCCCGGCCCGGAACCGGAACCGGCCCGGCCCGGGTCCATCCCTAAGCTCAACCATAAACATTTAAAGAACTAGCACCCAAATTTATCGATACTTTATTTTGGATTTTTTTTATTCACATTCTGAATAATAATTACCAAAAACAAAATTAATTAATTTAGACTATTATCCACTAGTAATTTATTATAGTCATCTTATTTTAATATAATAAGATACGGAGTAATGGATACCAAATCATTAATTAGTTTGGCGATTGGACCAAAGCTATGCGTATTGCGTTGATTACTTGGTCAGTTGGTTGCTGCTCTGGTCTGTAACAGCCAAAGGCTTGGGCTTTAGACTTGGGCTTTAGGCCTTAGGTGTTGGCCGGATAGGCCCTGCATTTTTTTTGCTTACAACTGAAACGGCGTCGTCCCAATTAAACAAAAACAACACCCCTCTCCCATCGTCCCTATCTTCCAGACGGTCTGCAACACACCCATTGTCCGCCGGAAACTATGGACCAACCCTGCGCCGCCCCCCAAGCCCTCCCTTATACCTAGCTCGTACGGACGAAGCAGGGGCACCGGCCCCCTTTGCCCCCCTGGCAGATCCGCCCCTGGTATACACGTGATAATATAATTCAGAAAATGAAAAAGATGTTTATTATGAACCAGGAAAAAAAATTGAATCCATACTTTATCATCAGCATTCCCAATTCAACTTAATACATTATGAAAATTAATACATTAAAAATACACGGTTAGTTTTATTTTAAATGAAGTTTCCACACCTCTCGAACATTAGATGAACCATCTGCAATCTCGGCCACAAGAACAGCCTTAAAAACACCTGTTGAAGTGGGAGTGCTCGATATCAATGGATAGTAATTGAAAGTATTACATTAATACTACAAAATAGATAAATATAAACAAATTGTCCACACCTCCTTGTGCTTATTACACAGTGAAGTTTTTGTGGCTTAATTAGACAGCTCATCCATACTTAAAATCCATTTTGCTTCGTTTTTAAATAGGTGATGCAATCATGCAAATGGGGAAAACTGGTAGCAACATCATACCAAGTAAATAAAAAGTATAGAGATTTGTGTTCTTGAAGCAATGCCTGGATTAATTTATCGTTAAGAAGCAATTTCGAGGTTGCATTAAGCATTATTCAGAAAGGAACCAATAGTAAACAATTCCGAGGTTGCATTAAGCATATCCAATTGAATACATCTATCACAAGTTGAATCGCAGACAAAGAGGAAAACGGGAAGCTTTTTTTAGACAGAGGGAATAATAACTTTCAAGTGTGAAATGCTGCAATGTGCATCTATCAGATAATTGAAAGGTAATGACGGCAAAAGAGATGTGCAATTGTAAGCACATGAACCTGAACTACAACATTACAAGTGGTGTCATGGTAATACTGTTTATGAGTATCATTTCATTTAGAGATTTCCCTTTAGAACTGATCATTATTTCAAAGTGCACACAAATAAGGAAAAGGAAAAAGGGTCAAATAGACCCATGAACTATCATGAATCCATCATATACACCCATCTAATAATAAAAGGATCATTTAAACACCTTTACTCTTTAAAAACATTCAATATAGTCAAGAATACCGGGAATCAACCCTCTTGACAGGTTAAAAGAAGACTTGACTTTTTTTTTAAATTTTTCCATTTCTTTTCTTTTTCTTGTCTCTTTCCTTTTCTTCCTTCTTCTAAGTCCTCATCTTGTCAGGCCAGCCTATCCAGAACCAGAGAGGCATACTCCTCTATCCCTGCTGTGAACACCACAATCCCGAATCTCTTGCTCAACGATTCGAGAAATTCATCCACAAAGGGTCTCTTCAACAAGTAGAACTCCGCGCGGTCTCTGTCTAGCACCGGGCGTACCAGAAAATCGTACTTTTCCGGTGGGAGGTTGGTGTAGGAATGGATAAGGGTTTCTTCTAAGTCAAGAAAGATGGTGCTTTTTCAGGGGAGAGAGTGTGGGAGGGGGTTTCCTCATGGAACAGAGGCCGCCGGAGATCGGTAATTTTCCCCAGAATTTTATAGCCTCTTTTTCTTGGGGTTCTCTTTGGGTACCGGAAATGCAGGTGAGTTTGGAGAAGATATTGACGAGGCGACCACAGCAGGGGTAGAAAGACCTGTTCATGGAGGGAACCACCACGGATGTGACTGTGGCTGTAGCCGGATTCTTGACCGGCGACCTTTTGCATCCTCGTCGGAGATGATTCTTGTGCGCCGGCCTGAGAGAGGTCTTCTTCAAAACCTTCCACACCAACTCTATTGACGAACAAATGAATGAAATTATACACTATTACAAGTAATACACGCAATTTCTAATAAAAGTAGCCAAGTAGGGTAAGCTTTGGAAGCAAAAAAAGCTCTGCAAAAGCAGAGATGAAATTTAAGATGTTACTGCAGGTCTGGAGCTTCCTTGTTCCATGAAGATGCCAACGACATACATCCATGGAGCCATGGAGGAACGACCTTAAAAAATGAATTACAAGAAAAGATGAATTAATAGAAAAAAGATGGGAAACTTAAAGAAGAAAAGAAGAATAACGAAAAATTAAAAACAAGAAATAGAGATGAAGATGACGGACGCTGGGTCGTGGGAGTCAGTGACTACGTGGCCTAAGTCAATCACAAAAGAAAAAGAAAATAAATAAATATGGGAGAGAAGAAGGATAACCGGCTATTACAGGTTTGTTTTAGGTAATTTGACTTAATTGATTGTTTTTTAAAAGTTAATGGATTCATATGATGCTTTTTATAGTTCATGGGTCTAGATGACCGATCTATAATTGTACACGGGTCTATTTGACCCTTTTTCCTAAGGAAAATGGAAGAGTTAAGAAATGACTATGTTTGGTTCTACAGAGTGAGAACATTTATTGTTAAAAAGGAGGAATATTATGATAGGAATCAGCCTAGTCAGTACTTTTATTAAGGGGCAGAATAAGAGAAATAAGGTGTCTAAGGGGTGAAATAGCTAACTAGTTGTTTGTTTGGTCCCTGCGTGGACTGTTACTATAAATAGAAGTGGAGGGTAGCTAAGGAAGTCAGGCTGTTATTTGGTTTTGGTTTGGCTTGGAGGTTGGGCCCTCGAATAGTCCCCTGGCTTGTATTCTCCCTGGACAGTTTCTCTTTCTTCAATAAACATCTCTTCGATCCATTTTACTCCTTTAATCTCTGCTACTTTTCTCTGAAATACTACCAAATCCTATCATTTGGTATCAGAGCATTACGTTTCTGGTGATCGCAACAGTAATCGGAAAAGTGACGCAATCCAGAATTTTTTTTTTTCGAAGCTGTGAATGGTTTGGACTAGGGCCAAAATGGAACAGCGGATTGAAGCGGTTGAACGCAGTCAGGTAGCGATGAAAGAAAAGTTGCTGCGATTGGAAGCTAAGATGGAAACGATGATGGAACGATTGACGGGGATGATGGACGCTAAGAGCGAGCGAGGGAGATCGCGATCTCATCCTCACCATCATTCGCTGTTGTCAACAACTTCTGCCAGATTGTCGTTGCCAACTGCGCAGACGGCATCGCGCGTAGCAGCTCCCAACTCGCAATCGCGAACTTCTTCGAAATCGCCAGTCGTTTCTCACAGTAGTTCGCAGAAATCGTCGCAGTCAGCATCGTCCTTCATTTTGTCTCAGGTCTCTTCTGAATTGCTGACCGCATCTCACAGTTCATCAATGCTAGCCGCTTCTCACACTTCGCGAGTTTCACCGCTCAGTTTGGGGTCTGTTAAATGGCGGCAACCTTCTTCGAATGATAGGAGTACTTCACAGTTTGAAGAAAAGGCAGAGAAGTTCACTGAAGGCGAAGATGAACTCGAGGAACCAGTATCCGTGATCGCTGGGCCTGAAGCTGGTGCAATAGCTGGACCTGAAACCTTCTCCAAGTACGAGTTCGTCAAGCCAGACCTGGAAACTAACAGTTCTACAATGTTGTACCATCATTCATCAAACATTAATTGGGAAGGACTGAACAAGTTTGATAGTTTGAGCTATGATCAAGCTGTAGGCATGGGACAGGCATTTTACTTGTGTAGTGGATATATGAAACCTCCCAAATTTGCTGTTCAGGATGGAACTCTTGCTTACATTGATCCTGGAATGAGGATGGAAGGGAATAAGATCAATCATTGTGAAGAGATTGTTGCTGCCAGAAGGATAGGAACTTTCCAGAGTTCTGCTATTTCTTTTGCTCTCATACCTTTGGCTGGAAAATTCAAAGATGATAGGAGAACACCTCAGGCGGTACCTGAGAACGTTACTAAGACTGGAATATTGATTATTGACAGGAAAGGAAATGAAAATGTGTCCCTGCTATTCCCTAATTCTCAAATATACTCAAATGGAAAGGCATCAGATGAAGAGAGCTATGAATTGGTGGTAGTTTCTTTGAGATTCAAGGATTCAGAGATGTTCAAGGGCATTTTCATGGGTATGGCCATGCTTCTGGGAGAAAACCTTGTCCTTATGGAACTGCCAAGAAAACCTACACACATGCTACAGGCTGAAGATAGAGGTTATAGACAAGGGCAAAAGGATGCAGTCCACCTTTATATCTTTTGTGCAAAGGATGCCGTGGATCAAGTTAGTTGGCTGAACTTGAGTGAAAGGTTGCGTAGAGTTTCATTTGCAATTAAAGAAAAGTATGATGTTGTTCAGAAAATGAAGGTTGAAATCATCCCTTGCCTTGGGGGAAATGCTGAAATTGAAGAGAAAGAAATGAGTGTTCAAATGGTTTCTAAACGTGTTGATGGTGAACCCGGTGAAGTTCAATTTCAAATAGATACTGAAGTTCAAAGTCAGATTGACACTTCCACGCCTTATCCGGTTGATATTGGAGGGTATCAAATGGTAGAAGAGTTGTGGATGGTTGCTGATATGGCAGTCTCTGAAAAGAGACTGAACAAGTATCCTACCTACTCTCTATTGAGGTGTCATCCCAGCTCAACCAAGGAGATGCATGACTACGTGCTCCCAACTGCTGTCATTGTAGTTATGATTGGTGAGAAACATGCGGTTGAGGCAGCAAACTTATTGTACTCCGGAAGGTACAAATGCGCCGTTCATCATGAGACAATGGAAGAGGGGTACGAGATGCAGTTGCTGGGAGAATTCTGGTGCACTGGGATTGAGCCTGGTGGCATTGTACTGAGAAGTATCTTACCTTCATGGGTTGCTGATATGAGGACTGAGACTAACAGTCCCGAAGCTGGCTTTGTAAGTCACATTGGAAAGTCTATAAGAGATCACACATGGGGCAGTGAAGGAGATAACAACCTCGGCCAAAAGGAACCCTATGTTGACAAAGAGAGTGAGTGGACACCAAAACGAAGAAGACTATCCGAGCTGAAGTATTGGGAAGGGAGAAGTGCAAGAATGAAGTGCAAGTGGAAGATCATGGCTGACTCCTATCACCCACCTTGAGGGCAAGGTGGTTGTTTAGGGGGGGAGTATTGATAGGAATCAGCCTAGTCAGTACTTTTATTAAGGGGCAGAATAAGAGAAATAAGGTGTCTAAGGGGTGAAATAGCTAACTAGTTGTTTGTTTGGTCCCTGCGTGGACTGTTACTATAAATAGAAGTGGAGGGTAGCTAAGGAAGTCAGGCTGTTATTTGGTTTTGGTTTGGCTTGGAGGTTGGGCCCTCGAATAGTCCCCTGGCTTGTATTCTCCCTGGACAGTTTCTCTTTCTTCAATAAACATCTCTTCGATCCATTTTACTCCTTTAATCTCTGCTACTTTTCTCTGAAATACTACCAAATCCTATCATATTATACGAAGTATTTAAAATGCTTGATGTAATTGATACTATAGTTAATGCAACAAGAGATATGAAGAGTTTAGAGGACTCCAAAGCTCCTCCACTTTCCTCCCCGTACACCGAAATTACCCCAACAAAACAATCCCCTTCGCTTTCCTCTCATTCACCCTGAAGTCCTCTAAGGCTCCAAACAACCCCAAGCAAGGGCTTACAAAAATGTCAAGCAAGAGATCTAAAGTTAAAAACCTTTTGAATGATCTCATCCATATGATGCATTTCCTAATAAGAAAAACAAAAACCAGAGAAGTTCTACTTCCATCACACTATTGCATATTCACTTTACCTTTTTATCAAGAAAAGGCAATTAATTTACCATATAATTTACAAGCATACCAAGCAAAAAACTATGCAAATATAGTAATGATGTAATATACACTCATCAGTGATGCTAGAGCAAAAGGCTTACCATATTTCTCCACCATTGAAACAAATTGTCTTGATCCCCCGCCAACTCCAAAGTAATGCTTTTTAGCAGCTACATAGACCACTCCATGAGGACTACTTGTGCACTGTAAAATAAGGCAATGAGCTCAAGAATAAAAACAACCCTTCCAAAAAACACTCAATATATGAATAATTGGGAACCTTTTCAACAAGTTTATAAAGACTGGGAAGTGCGGACATTGAATAAACTGTTTCAGCCATGAGAATTATATCATAACATGCAGTGCCATTCACAGTTTGACCCTCACTTATATCATTATCATGAGTAAGAGGAAGAATGCAATGAATGTCACTCCAGTCCCCTGCAAAGTAACGCAGTTCAGCCTCAGAACTCTTTTTTACTGAGGATATACCCATTTGCTGGGTATTGGCATTTACATTTGGAATGGTGAGACACCGCAGGACCTCAGCATTAAAATCCTGGAAATGCACAGCAGCAGCAGCCTAATACACCATAGAGAAATTTACAGTTTTAAACTGGTGTCAACGTCAAGCTTTGTAGTTACGGAAAGGGGGGATTGCAATTCTAGCCCTCCACTTGTTCACCACTAGAATGTTTTGTCCCTAAGAAATGTCCATAACATAGTACTTCCTAATTGGTCTCAAATGGCACTTCTAATCCGTTCATTCACACAATTTGTTAATCTGCACCATTGATTACCAGCACCAACAAGTTTTAAACCTTTTATAATATTAAAGTATATGGAGTGTCATATTAACATTTGTCTATAAACTCTAGTTGAAGTAGATATTTATCAAGCTGACGGAGACTCCCTTTGTCCCATTTCAACGTTCCCGGATCAGTTAACTATGGTTGAATGATGATAAAGTTAAGTCTTCCTTGATAAAATATAAGGAAAATATTAGTATAATACTGTATATTAAAATCTACATGTTTAGAAACTACGCTATAAATATTATTGAATCGCAAAAATGTTAAATATAATTAAAGTTTTTTAGATAAATATATGATTAAACACTATTAAAAAAATAAGAGATTAGAATGAAGTTAAATTGACTGTGCTATTAGTGTATGGGAACCTCAGATTGGGACAGAGCTAGAATTAATTATTAAATGTTAATAATGATAGTAATAATAATATAATAATAATAATAATAATATTAATAATAATAGTAAAAATAATAATAGTAATAATAATAGTTAAACTTTCTTTAATTTTTTTAAGATAATAATTGAGTTCAATTATCAAGTTCCACTTTCTTCTTTAATGTTTTTTAATTGTTATAATTTAGTAAAAAGTGGGAGGGAGTCATGGTTACAACATTTGGTTGGACATATTAACAAAGTGTGTTAAATAAAAGGACTAAAAGTCCATTTCCAGAAGAGCTAAGTCCTAATTATGCTATGGTCACTTCTGTGACTAAAATGACTAGTGGCAAACATTTATGGGACTATAAGATAAATTTCCTTTAAATAAAATCACTTTCCATTACACCTGAGAGATGGCAAATATCCCAGGTAGTCCATGACCACAACCAAGCTGAAACATAACCAAATCAAATTAGTTGCATTGATCAATTGAGAGCATAAAACTATAAAATAGTGCCCGATTCCATCATGTGATTTTGTGAGTGACAGTGTGCATAGCAACTTCCTTTCAATCAATGTATTGGCACTTCTATAGTATAAATGAAATAAGATTTGGATACAATTGTAACGGAATTGCTCCCAGATTTTGTATTGCCGACGTCATTGGGACAGCAATGAATAAAGAGGAGAACAGCATAAAGCATAAAGAGCACTACAGCAGGAACCAGAATAATAGTTGTTACACACTTCTTCCTAAGAAACGTCACGAGCAGTGATTAATGTCTATTTGCATTGTTTTTCATATACTTGTCCTGTGGTCCTTATAGATTCCACTGGAGTAATTATGGTGCTTTGGTGAAAAAAGTCATCAAAGAAAAGTCATGCACAGTGATAAATGTCTGATTGCATTGTTTATTTTGTTTATACTTGTCATTAATTTCCCTTAAGTAATTAGTAATTATGAAGCTTTGGTGACAAAAAGGTAATTGATTGCATACAATGAATTACATGAACTATTTTCCAGCTATGATTTAACACACCTACTGCAATAGGCCTTAGTGTCTTTTTTAGTGATTTTTTTAAATGAGTGCAATAAACATGTTCTATCACAAAGGAACTTTTTTAACCTCTTTGTTTTTACTTTGAGGCAAAGCTTTCTAATGTTGTGTCAATTATACAATATTACCCACAGTATCAAGTCCATGCGACGTACAACAGATTGAGCCCTAACTTGCTAGAGTCAAATGCAATTTTAGCCTTTCTCTAAGAGATGACAATGTCAAATCGCCTCAGAATTATGAGCTCACCTCTAAAACTCTCTTTCCAATGAATGACAGTTTTTCCTCTTTTACTTCTGAGTTGAGAATTTTCACAAGATCTAATGAACCTTCCCAGAGTTTGAGCCCTCCTAACAAAAAATCGTTATATCAGCAAGGAACTTGTATCTAAGATAACATGACTAGTTGAGTATATACAAATTATATACGGAGTAGATTGCAGAAACACTTCAAACTTTATTGTCATGGCTATTTAGCTTTAGAAATGAGGGTTATGCAGAATGGGTAAGATTCAATGTTTCAGTAAGCACTAAATTGACATGAAGACATTAATAAAAACGCTTCAAAAGTCAAAAACTTCATAAAAATGACAATATGCTATATATTGAAATATTTAATATCTAAACTTTTTCAAATATGTTTACCGGCAAATAATTCTATACTACAATCCAACACTTTCACACATGTCAGATTTTCAATGTGGCACCGAAAGAAATGCATGAATTTGTGTTTGGTGTATGTCATATCAAATTTGGTGTGTGTGTGTCTGGAGTAGAATGATTTCATCCCCCATCAACATAAGATTTTCACTGAATCGGTTATATGTGTTGTGTGTACAATAAATGTCCAAGAACACATGTACAGTTATGTCCAAGACTTTGTCAACTTCCCTTTTCTCATTGTCCCAAAAAATTGGCATGTGTCCGTCAGCATTGGCAAACTCCAACAAGGCAGAGGGAGTATTTGTGTTTTAAAAAATGGATCAAGCACCAACAGACCAAGTGAAATGTGAACATGTCACATTACTTTTGTGTAAGGTTTGAATTACAATCTTATCAGGTCAAAGAAACTTATAGGCAGAAAAAATCATTCAAATTTAGCTCGATCAGGTGTTATCATGGTTTAAAAAGGCACTTACAAGGAGGCAGGGAGCTAGGTCAAAGGGTTTCAAGAGAAGAGTTCCAAGACGGAAGTCTGAAGACAGAATTTTTAAAAAATGGTTTAAATGTGATTGCAAGGTTCATTTCTTTACTTAAGAAGGCTATAGTACCCCCAAAAAATTATAAAAAGCTAAAACTACCCACATATCCATAATTGTAGCGCAAAGAAGTAAATAAGAACTGTAATACAATATCGCCTGAAGTAGCTGCAATTTCCCCATCCATGTCCAAAAAATACATCTGCCTCACCATCGAGGACCTGACAGTGACCATTGTGAAATATAATCACATAATTGTGTCATGTTTGGGTCTTGCTATCATTTCCTGTCCTCATATTGCCACCCTGCTTTCAATTAAATTGCTATATTTTTCATCTAAGACACTCTTTCCAAACAATTACCAATAAAACAACAAAATAACCACATTATTTAATATCATAGTTGATTGTATACAAACAAGTATGGCCCCTTATTTAGTATCTATCTGCAAGACACAAAACTCAGTTGAAATGTTATGTAATAATTTATGCATGTAAGACTACAAAGTTCATGCAACTCGAAAACTTCCTTTGTGCATGTACTGACCTTCATACTTCCCAGGGACTAAATCTGAATTGGATAACCCGAAAACTTCCTTTGTACTCACTCTTCCCTGATAAAGAATACGAAGTAAACGTAAGCTAAACATCTTCCTGAAAGGTGAAAATTACGCGAGCAAATTTAAAACTTAATACTGAGAACTCATTTTTTTTGCCTTCTTGGTTTTTTATTTCAATTCGCGTAGACAATTTACAATGCAGAAGAAAACCAATCATAGATATGCTCAATTGCTCATTTACCTTTAACATAGTAAGTCCATCCACAACCACAGGCTCCATGGTAAAGTTCGGATTTTGCGAAGCCTGCTTCAAATAGAACATAATAGTTTGCTCCATAAACCGATCGAGGACAGAAAACAGATACCATGACAACGACTAGTTCTATAGACCGGAAGCAAAATAATACCTGCGAGGGGAGGACTTCTTGGCAAGGAGGTGGTGGGGAGGCAGGTTTTTCTGGGGCATCAAGGAACCCTAGGCCTATACCCGGTTGAGGTTTTGCACGGAAGAGATTAAACGTGCTAGCAGAAGAAAGTGACGATTCTGAATCCATTAGAATTTATGGTGCAAGTGAAAGTGAAAACTTTCACAGGATGGGATGCGCAGAGCAGATTGACTGCATATTTGTTCGGTTGTTTTGAGCGCGGGAATATGCAGCCGCACGCTGACAGTCAAACACAGTGGGCTCACATAAATATGATTAATAAATATTACGTGGTACTAATGCACATAAACCCATGTAAGAACAGTGGGTTTATGTGGTTAATATTAATTAATAAATTAAGAATAAAATAAGAATGATTTTGAGCCACACAAACTTTACCAAATAGATATAAGCCAATTAAATAGGGATATCTCAATACGATAAAATGAGTTATTTAAAAGGGACGGAGAGAGTACAATTTAGTGTGATGGTAACTTACATTGAAAATACGGAGTATGAGCTATGTTTGAAATGTTATAAATAGGATTTTTATTTGTAATGACTAAAAATAGTATTCATCACAAATATTTCATTTTGGGGTTTTTCAAAAATATTCCCTCTGTTTCACCATCAAAGTCAGACTTTCCTTTATTTGGATGTTTCAAAAACAAAGTCGCACTTCCCTTGCTTCCTTATTTGTTAAAGAAATCTACATCAAAACAGTACGAAACAATGTTTAAACAGTGTACTCTATACTAAAGTCAATTTATTTCCTTAATCCTTGAGAAGTCAAACTGTGGCTTTGGTTGTGAAACGGAGGGAGTATTGTTAAAATAAAATTTATTCACACAAATATGACTAATAGTTACTACAATTTAGTGTTATGGTAACTTATGTTGAAAATACGGAGTATGAGGTAATGTTTGAAATGGAGTAAAGGGTCAGTTTGGTACTCGAAGTTGCAAAAAAGGAGTCAAATAAGTCCTTATATAGAAAATTTTGTCCGGACGTGCCATTTGAGGTGGTTCCCGTTGGAATTTTTTGATAAATTTTTTTGGGCATCTTATTCGTTAAGTCTAGTTTACTCATACCAAATTTTAGCTAATAATTCAATCGGGAAGACATTCAAATGAATTCTTGAAGATAACTGCGCTTTTAACGGCACAGTTATCTTCAAGAATTCATTTGAATGTCTTCCCGATTGAATTTTGATCTGAAATTTGGTATGAGTGAACTAGACTTGATGAATAATATTCTCAGAAAATTGTGTTAAAAAATTACACCGGGAGCCACCTCAAATGGCACGTCCGGACAGAATCTTGTATATAAGGACTTATTTGACCCCTTTTTTGCAACTTCGAGGACCAAACTGACCCTTATCCCGTTTGAAATGTTATAAATGGGATTCTTATTTGTAGGGAGATCTACCTAGGACTAAAATAGTGTAATTTTCCAAAATGCGAGTGTGAGCTAATGTTTGAAATGTTATAAATAGGATAGGAGTTATTCGAAAGTGCATCTGATAGGGGTTATTGTGCATCAGATCGACAGTTTGGATGACTGAGATTAATTCTGATTTTACACGTTAAGACTTTTTTTTATTTGGTCCAAATTATATATATATATATATATATATATATATATATATATATATATATATATATATATATATATATATATATATATATATATATATATATATATAGAGAGAGAGAGAGAGAGAGAGAGAGAGAGAGAAATTTTGGTTCAAGTAAGAAATGCATCTAATGTGAGAAATGAGAATGAATCTCAGCCATTAGATTTACAAAGTTGCACTAAAAATGGCTTTATGTTGCAGTAATATTTAAATTTTGCAATGTTGAACTAAAACTGTTTCATGTTGCACTAATATTTGACGGCGTTGCACCGAAATAGCTTCATGTTGCACTAGACAAGTGTAATACGGATTTTCCAGAAGTATTTACATAAATGTCATTGTGCTAGATTGCATATATATATATATATATATATATATATATATATGGAGCGGTTCCGGTAAGAACAGATCTTATGAGAAAAATGAGAATGAATCTGGACCGTTGGATTGTTTTATGTGGAACCAAATTGTGCATTTGGTGAAACTGAAATGTGCAAAATAAAAATTTAAACTCAAGTATGCATTAGATGAAACTGATATATGCGGAAAAAAGTACAAAAATAACATCACACCTTACTTTTTATTCTGCACATTTCAGCTTCACCTAGTGCACATTTCAATTTCACGTAATGCACAATTGAACTGCACATAATGCCACTCTATCGTACCCTTTGTGATGCACATTTCAATTTCACCTAATGCACATTACAGTTTCATCTAATGCACACTGAATTTCACTTGAAGCAAATCTAACGGTCCAGTTTCGTTCTCATTTCTCTCATAAGATCGTGTTCTTATTTGAACCAAAACCTATATATATAATAAAGATCAAATGAGAACAGTGCTTAACGTGAGAGCACCACATTTACCCCAACGTGTTGCACAATGACGCTTGTATATTGCACATTTTCACATTTTCACAATATTTACCAAAATGCCACCGAGTTTATTTAATATAGGTTTAACTCGTGCAAATTGAATGTGCAACAGAATAGTTCCATTGTGCACCACGTTGATGTAAATGTGAGTGTTCTCACGTTCTCACGTTAAGCATCGTTCTCACTAGAACCGCACTATATATATATATATATATATATATATATATATTGCTTTATCCTCCATCAATCAACATGTATAAATAATAAAACAAATACGGCAGCAATGAGCAAGTACCATACAACATCACAAACCAGAGAACAAACCAGAGTTTTTAGACTAAAAAATGGTGATTTCTCACCCATCTTCCATGGTGCAATATGATTGCATCAACGAGGTCTCAAATAGAAAGCAAATTTGGTCTTTACGTGCAAGGCTGGTCACTCATTGGGATAGTTTTCGTCAGTCCAATCCGAACCAATTTATTTCTTATGAACTACTTTTAATTGATGAAAAGGTATGTTTAAATTGTAGCAAATTTATAGATTAATTACTTATGTTTTGCGTATGAACATCTCAAATTAATGACAATTTGAGATGCTATTTAAGATGTTATTTTGATGAAATTTAGTGTACTTTTATCTATTAATGTACTATGTATAATTGACTGGCTATTTCATGTGATGTTTTTACGATGTTGGTCTACGAAATATGTCTCCAAACTTATTTTTAATTATGAATAGTGTTACAGTATTTATTGTGAACAAAAATATCTCTAATAAAAAGTTTACTTCAATTTATTACTTCAGATGGAATATTCAGATAATTTAAATGGTAATTTATCATCAAATAATATTGTTGGGGTTTATTCCTTCAACCCTCGGGTTCAACACGTAAGCCCAAAAGTTTCGAGTGGAGTGTGTATGAATAATCTAGCCCAACTAACAAGTTAAATGTATTGAGAAACAGTAGGTAGCAAGTAAGGGATTAGGTATTATTAATCAGTTAATAACTCCCCAATACAATACTTTTCGCTAAGGCTCGTCGGACGTTCATCTTACAAGGCAGTAGAAGAGCTGCGAGTAAGAATGCTATAAGCTAGAATGCTAAGAATAGTAAGTTGTCAACCCTTTACAATGAAATAAATGCTGCTATTTATACTACCAATGGGCAGCTGGCTATGCTGATGTGGAGGACTGTGAGTGGCTGGTGCTCCAACCACCAAATCTTCAGCATTAAATGCGCTTCCCGCCAGGATCTGGGTTTCCCGCCTAATTAGTGGGGACGTTCGTCCTGCTGGGGGAGGTGGACTGCTCCTGGTAATGTCGCAAAGGGTATCGGGCCGTTCGTATCCTGGCCCTTAGATGATTTGTCACATGGATTGGGCTGGCTCCCAATGTTAATGTCTTCTGGAAGCGACGTTCGTCGCCGGTGCGATTGTCTGGAGGTTTGATCCTGAGACGTTCGTTGTCACTACACTGGTTGTGGGCCTGATCCACTATTGTATGTATGGACGCTCGTCGGGATGGGTCAGTAAGCCTTGGATCCGACGTTTGTCTGTACCATGTTTGCCTGTTAGCTTGATCCGCCCAATGACCTGTCTGGACGTTCGTCCAACCGATGGCGTAAATGGGCCGGCCCTCTGCTTGGGCCATTAACCCAACAAATATAATACCCCATATGAACATCTCAAATTAATGACAATTTCATGTGATGTTTTTGATGATGTTTTTTTATGGAATTTAATGTAATCACACGTATTATGATACTCCGTATGAACATCTCAAATTTTGTTTTGAAATATTGTTTTACATGCCTTAGGTATACATGGTATAAATAAGAAACAAAAAAACTTTAGATTAAATATTCAGATAATTTAAATGGTAACTTATAATTCAGGTTTATAATATTCATATAACGTAGTAGAGATAAATATAATTTATTGATAATTCATAATGTATTTGATGATTGACATTATACTCTATACCATTGTATTCAAATTTTTGAAAATTTACTTTCTAATTGGCAATTCTTTTAGGTATGAAATGTTTATCATATTCAAAATTAACTTTTAATGTTTAGCAAATTCAATGTGTGTAACTTTTGATTGTTCCATACTCCATATTAATCATATTGAAACATTCAAAAATATATATTAATATTCTCAGTTTTGTTCATCATACTTTTAATTTATATTTTCACAGGCACTACATACAATGCAGTATACCGCCCAATATTTTGTTTTGTTTTGATTCTTCACCAGTATCACAAAATATCAATCAACCAATTGTTTGAGATTGAAGAGGTAAATAATTACCATTATACACTACTAATGCGGCAATATCTATTTCTTTATTTTATTTCAAATATTTTACATCATTGAATCTTAATATTATTTGAAACATTATAAAGTGTGTATTTCTACAGGAGGGAAAACATCTTGTGGTTGGTACTATATTAGGAGTCTCAACAGAGAATGGTTGGTTCTTTAATGCATGTCCTAAATGTGTCTGCAATGTACGCGTAGTTGATGACAGGTTTAAATGTGACAAATGCAATGAATATTCTATCAAATTTTGCAAGAGGTACAGTGCTAAGCACCTATTGTTTTATATTCTTCTCTTATTTCCACATTAGCAATGATATTGCTTATTGTGTTAATAATGCATTTAAATTCAAAATACGTACATTACTCACCAGATATAAGCTCATGTTGAGGGTTGAAGAC